CATTTTTATATATATTTTTAAATCCTTTATAATTTTAATTATTTAATTGCTCCTTCCTCTCTTCCTTGGCATGTTGTGAAATTTCTGATAGTTGGATAATAAACCGTTTTATTGTAATTTGTCTTTTTAAATTATTAGATGATATTAAAATTTGGAAAAGGGGATCCCTAGATCGGTAAAATAGGCGAATTTCCTTCTACAACTTTGGTTGTTGTTCGGTATACAGTTAAAGTTTTAACAAAGTTCGAGCGAATACGTAATTAGCAAAAAAAGTTGAAATAAAGTGATTAAACAAACATTATTACGAATATCGTAAATAGCAGTTCACAGATGCATATATAGAGATATTTTCTGAAGGGGGAAATGGTCTTCACAATTTGAAATCGATCGGACACACTGTGCTCGAATGCTCGTGTAAACGCGCGCCATCTATCTTAGGATAAATGTACTATGCCAAAAACCTTCGTGGGAGTGTATTAAAAAACTTTCCGAAGTTTTATGGCAATCGTACTATGTAATCGGTATATTAAACAACTTCCCAAAGTTTCACGGCAATCGGATAAACGGTGTGGTAATGCATGAAGGACACACACACACACACACGCACACACACATTCATTTTTATATATATAGATTATTATAAAGAATGTATAAATAAAATTTATTAAATTGTTTTAACAAGTTCTTTTACTGTGAAAGTCAATAATCATTTTTTCCACTAATTGTAGTCTTATTTATGTATGCTGTTAAATATTATCATTCAGTTATTGAGATTTACCTATATTAATACAGTAGAATTCACTTATTTTGATCACTGGTAATTACTTATTTAAATTACCAAATAACTTTTTATTACTGTTTATTAGTTTTATAATTTTTGTTCTTTAATTTGCATTAGTTTTTCAATTCCATTATAAGTATATTTCAAGTTACAAGAAAAAATCAGTAATACTTAAATGTTTTCAAGCTTTTTTGACTCCTCTTCAGAGACTTGCATATACATTGTATGTATGTATCTATGTGTGTATGGCCTTATATATTTGTACTTGTGCAACTTAAAGAGAAAGGAACAATATTAAACATTAAGTGCTTCAAAATGAGCCAGAAAGAACCAAAAACATTGTTTTAAACACTTTGAATTAGATGAAAAAACCATGCTTTATAAGAATGAACTTTGCTCATATTGACCAGGAAAAATTTTTTAAATAATTCAAACAAAAAAAATATTATAAGTTGATAATGTAAATTGTAAATACTTATTTTTGTTTTGTTTAAAAATATGTCATTGTATTTCAACTTCAATTTCATTTAAAAAAACTTTTTTCATAACCTCTTATTTTTGCATACTTAGGTGTAAAATCTGAAATAAAAATTGCAATCTATTTTTTGTTTTATAGCTTAAAATACAATATCAGATGAGTTAAATTGACATATTTGTAGAACACCATTTTTAAGAAATAAATGAGGATTTAGGTTAATTTTCAGTCACATATTTTGATGGTTAACATGTAAACTTTTAAATACTTTTTCATATTTACAGACAATGAAATTAAGAATTGTCTAAATCCAAAAACTTCATACACTAAATGTAAACTATTTCTTTTTCTATTAAACTGGTATGTGTGTATGTATGGCCTTATATATTTGTTTTTACCTGTTTCTACTTTCCAGGCACTGAGGGCCTTTTCCATGTTCAGCAAGAGTTTGACCAGCTTATAATGGGGAGCTAGGGTGTGGGATAGGGCCCAACATATCCAGTTAAACCAGTGTTTTTCAACCTTCTTGAATACGAGACCCCTTTACAAGTTAAAAAATTCTTGCGACCCTCCATGGCCAAATTAAAACTATGTCAGTGATTTTAAAAACTACTGTAAGTATTTAATTTTCTTTCTGTAGAGATTTAAATATCGATAAAAAAAAACCAACTGTACTGTAAAATAAACAGGCACAGCCTTCTCACTGAAATTGTAGGTTTTTTTATTTTAGTGTAGGACCTACGAACACTTGTCTTTTTCTTTTACCCGCGACCCCCCTTGTATGGCTTTGTGACCTCCCTGTGGGTCTGACCCACAGGTTGAAAAACACTGAGTTAAACTATCCAGGAAAAGTTTTTGGAGATCCAACCTAACATGGCAGGCTAACACTTTACTGTTTGCCCATCCAGCAGTCCTTGTAGAGTTGTTATTACATTGAATATACGCAAACTGTCTGTGAAATTTAAGAATTAATCATCTTTTTATTTATGAAAATAACATAGTTTTGCTCCATATTTATCTAAAAGTATTTAATGTAATAATTTCTAGAAAGAAATAATAATAAATTAAGTTCTGATTCTTATAATGGATATTTTTAGAATAGGAATGAACTTTGCTCATATTGATGCACCTCAGCTTTTATCTAAATTTTTTATTGTAAGCCAATTTAAAACCAAGTAAACCAATATACAACAAAAAGAAACAGTCTAATTTAATCTTTTTATTTTTAAAAACAAGCAAGACATCAATTAGTACCTATATTATTTAACAAACTAAAATTTACAGGTAAGAAAAAAAAAATAAGTGAAAATTATTTATCATCACAATGCTGTACTACAATTTTAAATTAAATAAATTTAAAATATGATTAAAAATATATGCTCGCCACCTCAAATTAGTAGTCTTACCCCTATATATCAGTTTTCTGTTAGAAATAGAGTCATGCTGGTCATCTATCTAACTCTTTTCAGGGAAAAATTTTTTATTTGAACTTGAATAACGTGACTTCCAGTTTGCACCAGAAGTTCGTATATAGTTAATTGGACCTCCTGCCCCTAATCTTTCCATATCTGGTCTTGACTTCATGTATCTAACACTGTTCTCAAGATTAAGAAAGGACAGACAGCTGGATAAATAACAGTAGGAATTTGTGTGTGTACAATTTTTTCAAATTGCAGCCCAATAATATTTTTGAACATGTGGGTGAAGTACTTGTTGTCTATCTTGATTGATTTGGTTATATTTCATCCAGGCAGATTTGAGTTTCTATTTATAGCACTTCTTTGTAAAGTGTTAGTTTCGGTTTCTGCTAACAATGATATAATATTTTGCTTTTAATATATATTATATATAAAATAGATATAGGTAATATTATATTATATACAAGGTAGCTTCAAAAAGTTCCTGGAATTATGCTGGGTTACTCAATTAAAGGCAATGAAAAAAGGAACATGTAATGCATGTCTTATCTAAACATGTCAGGAATAGAGAAATACATTCAAACAAATCCATACTCTCTGCAAAGTTGACAAATTACCATTCACTAAAGGTTGTATTAGTGAGATGTCAAGAAACAGAGTCTGTCAAGTGTCTGTGGGAGAACAATATGCAAATATCAAATTTTTTTGTTATTGGGGGAAAAACCTTCTGAGATCTTGAAGCATTCTCAAGTTTATGACTGGCAAAAATGCTTTTGTGATGAGTGTATTGCTGAATTTGCGAAGTGGTCGCCAGTCGATATCATCATCTCAGGAGATTGTTAGTTGTACACAAGATTGCGAGGTCAGACAGATTTGAGCAGATTGCCAAGATAACAGGAATTTTGGTTGGAAGTTGTCATTCCATCCTGCATGATCAATTGAACATACACTGTGTTTGCCAACATAGTGTCATTGTCCTGAATGCTCATGGTGGACCTCATGCAATTTTTACCTCTTTTTCCCAGTATTTTTGGTACCTGGTACCCCTACCTTCTTGAAAGATGCCATCAGGGAATGCCACTTTGATGTGTATATATATACACATCAAAGTGGCATTCCCATATTTTTTTGTGTATATATATATATATATATATATATTACAAAAAAATTAATACAAATATAAGTGTATTCATTGGAACTTGCAGCAGAAATTAAATTCATTAAGGAAAAGAGAACATTGTTTAGAATTAAAAATGGAAAATTTCAAAAATTGTATAATTCAAAAACATTTAAATAAATTTAAAAAATTAATGGATTAGTAAAGCATCAATATACTTTAATACTTACTTTCATTACAAATTTCTGAAGCATTAGCCTCTCTTTTTATTTCTATATCTAAACTATCCATGGTATATCTCTTATCTGGTAGCGAACGTCGTCCTAATATAGAATGCATGAGTTTCCAATAAGGCCAATCTGGAAATGGGCTATCTGTAAATATAAATAAATCTATTTTCAAAATATATTCTATAAGATGAAAAATATCTGTTGAAAATATTAAATAAATTATTTTACTTAATACTTATTAATGACATTTAATACTTATTAATGACATTTCTTTGCAATAACAAAACTTACACTTTTTGTGGCATAAACAAATTATTTTAGATATAAATGCTATCATTTCAGCTTGTAACATTTATGTAATACAATATTCTAGGAATCAGGACCCTCGTTATACATATACATAAACATCACTAAGCCCAATTTATTAATAATAAACCAAACTACCGCCATAATTAATAGAGCTATTTTTCAGCTATTATTAATAATTACAAACTAAACAATTTGGTATTAGAAGTAGACATCTCTTGTCTAAATTCATAATTTAATATTTATTAAATAATTTTTAGAAGTCTGGAAGAAAAGAATTGGCCTGGAGTGGGTTTCAAACCCACTCCAGGCCAATGCACTCCAGGCAGTGCATTGCCACTTACACTACCCAGACCACCGAGCAATTCTATTTAATCCTTGATATAACCATTCACAGTTACTCATGAGCAACTGAGGACAACTTCTTTGTCCATGGCCTTTAAAAACATTCACTATACAGGTAGCCCTCGGTTTACGCTGGTTCAATTTACGCCGATTCACAATAACGCCGCTGCGCAATTCGCCGTTTCGCAGTGTAATTCCCCGATTTTCCGTATGCTATACTGATTTTCATTTCAGTGTTGACGTATTTACCGAGCCGCAACATTGTACATTCGTTAAAACAAAGATTTTTATTAAATATATTTATTTTTTCTGTTTAATATTATTGGGTATGTATACATTTGCATTAAATTAATATTAAAATACTAAACGTTTAGGTACCCACGAGTCAAGATATTAAACTTAATAGTCCAATAAATGGCGTCCGAATCCATAGCGCCAATGAATGTATCCCGTATCAGTTCATTCAGGAAAACACCTTACGACGCAATAGCACTTCCGGCGATCACAAATTATCGTTAGTGAGACAAATCTACTTCTCGTTGGCCAGACGATATTTATCTCTCCTTAGCCACCTTGAATTTTCCCGCTCAAACTGACCTTATATATGCGCTACGGCGACCGGTGGTCGACCAATCAGTGTCTTCGCTCGTCTGTAGCTCTACGTCGGGTTAACGTATCCTTTCAACTAAGGAAAGTTTGACGGATGAAGTTTGTGAGTTAGACAATGTTGGGAGCGAAGTGCAAATGTAAAAAGGAGCATCATATTCGACCATATTCCGAAATTCTTAATGAAAGAAATCAAAAATGTAAACAATTAAAGATGGATACTTTTTTCCGAAAAATGTAAGAAATTCGAAACTAAAATTTTTAAATAAAAACATTTTACTTTATTTTATGATAAAATACAAATTAAAAATTTATATGTATTTTGTATTATATTGTATTAATAAACAAAATTATTAGCTTATTTTTCACTTATGTAGAACCTAACCATATACCTCACTGTAAATACAGGTTCGTTTTACACCGATTCGATTTGCGCCAGCTTTTGTAGGAACGGAACTGAGGTGTAAACCGAGGGCTATCTGTACCACTGATGGCACTCAGCTGGATGTCGTTTTATCCTAGCATGGTATATACAGCAGTGTCCACAAAAAGGATACAGCTACAAAAAAAGGAGAGGGCACAAGAGCTATTAAAAAGGGCATCATATGTACATTAATAAAATATACTGTACATACACACACATGTATATATATATTATATAAAATATATGTATACTGGTATCTCTTGATTAACGCAGCTAATTAATCCCTTGATGCTACCACATATATTAAAATTGCATTAATCAAATACAGTGGTACCTTAATAATCAATGAAGAAACAATCACAATACTCTAAAACAAATTTTCAGTTAATAACAAATATTTAGGCTGCAATTTGAAAAAATTATAGACCTATAAATTCCCACTGTCATCCTTCCTTACTTAATCTCTTGAACAGAGTTAGATGAAAGTCAAGACCAGATATGAAAACCCCTTAAGGAAAGGAAGCCCTGATTAACTATATATGAACTTCCAGTGCAAACCGGAAGTCATGTTATTTCAATTCAAAAATTTTCCCCAAAAAGAGATACAACTCAATTTCTAACAGAAAAAAATATGATGTACAGGGGTAAAACTACTAATTTGAGGCGGAGAGCATACATTTTAAATAAAATAAATTAAAAATATGATTAAAAATTGCAGTCCGAAATTGTAATGATGTCACAATAAATAATTGCTCATTTTACTTTAATTTTGTCATTAGTAAAAATATTTTCTGTGATAAAAATGAATAACTAATTTAAAAATAAAATAAAACCTTAGAACACCCCTTTGGGATTAAGAAAAGGACAACCCAATGACAAAGGGGGACACATGCCTCTGGAGTAAGCTTACTGTACATACAATCCTGGAAAAAGTTTGAGACTATCTAAGTTTTCAAACTTCCCATTAAAATTAACCGATCTCCTGTATATATGTTGGTATTTAGGTATTATAATAACCATAAACCAAATATAAAGTAAAAACTGATTTTCATATTTAAGAAATTCAAATACAAGAAATTATTGCTTGCAATTTGCCTAGAGAAACATTTGAGACTAGGATCAAAAATTTATATTTTACAACATTCTAAAATACAATAGATATTGTAATCTAATTTGTATACATCCATCTTGTATGTTTTCAACCTTTAGTAAAAATCGGATCTGGTAAAACATTAACAGATGAAGAAAAATGCAAAATACATGTATTCAGAGACCGGGAAATTTGAATGTGGGAATTTGTATTTATTGCAGGTCTACTAGGAAAGTCAAGATAGTTTATGGTTATTTAAAGGACCCTGACAATTATGGCAAAGCCAAACATTGTGGTGGGCAAAAAACTTTCTGCCAGAGATGATAGGACAATATTGAGAGAAGCTACATCCTCTGTTATGTCAACTAGTTATACAGCTACCTATAACACCAAGAACAACAAGGTATGTTCTGCAAAAGTCTGCAAATCATGCATATATTAAAATGCACGCACAGCTAAAATTGGCAACCTCCCATAAGGAAAGGTGGCTAGACTTTGCAATGCATTCAGATTTATGGAATTGCACCACTTACTGATGAGAAGAAATTTAACTTATATGACCTTGATAATATGCAATACTATTCATAACAACCTTTTTTTATTTTTTTATTAATTTCATCTTTTATCATGTCGTGTACAAGGTGGAGGATCTGTGATGGTATAGGCAGCTTTCACTCATCAGTTAAAATTAGTTATTGTTTTCATTTCATCTTGTTCAAAGTGTTAGGAAATTATCTTCTGTCATGCAGAGACGAAGCAATGGATTAACATTTTATTTTCCATGCTCCTATTGATAACGTTGCCTCAACAATGACATAGTTGTCTGACAAAGATATCAATGTTTTGCCAGGGCATGTATTCCAGATTTAAACCCAATAGAAAACCTTTGAGTGATTTAGTAAGAGTGGTTTATGCCAATAGAAAACAATTTTATGTTTAATGTTTCTAATCTTGTTGTTCTAATCTGTTAATGTTTCTAATCTATGTTATCTTAAAACAGCAATTGTTACTGCTTGGGATGAAATTGGAACAACTCTTACTAATCCATGACCAATGGATCGATTGATGTTATTCAGGTTAATGATAAACAAATTAAGTATTAAACATTGTTTTTCCCATTGTGTTTCATTTTTGTGGTGCTTTTTTGATCATGGTCTCAAACTTTTTTCCAGGACTGTAGAATTAAAAAAGTTTATTATGCTGCATCTTAAGTTACCTATAATTAAAATAATATTTTCATATCATTTAAAATTTTATAAAATATCACTTCATTTTAATCAAATTTTATAAACTTAAAATATATTTTTAAAGCTATAAATTGTTATAAATCATTTAATTTCATTACAAATGATTTGTTGATTAAATAAGGACAATTCATTTAATAAAAAACAGTTTATTAAATGAATTCTATATAATATCACTCTAATATCAAAGTTTATAATTTTATATACATTCTTCTAATAGGTAGAGGAGATTTTAAATGACCAAAAGACTTTACATTGAAAATTATCATTGTTTCAGATTTTTCAGATATTAATTGATGAACAGGTTCAACAATTTATGATTCTTACATTTTAAAAATTAGTTTATTTTGATACAACTTTCAATAAAAGAATTTAAAATTACCCATTATTTCTATAATTTTCTTAATGTGATTTGCCATTAGAAATCATAACTGAACATTGTTTGTAAACAGCAAATATTCTGTAAAATAATTCCGTAATTATTTTACAGAATATTTGCTGTTTACAAGCAATAGTTAAAAATTAATAAAAATATAATTCTGAACACTTTTGACTTCCAAGTAAATTGAATCCTAAATATATTTTTTACAATGTTACAATCTTGGGGTACAACTTTCATATCAAATAGTCATTTATTTTATTAGTGTCTAAAATATTTCTATTTATATGATTTGTGTAAACTGGACTTTTATTCATTACTATTTTAAAATATAATTGACATAATGTATATTATAAATTATATATTTAGATTCATGTACTGTACAATGTATTTAGTAGAATAAAAATGCTAGCCTTTTATATGTACAAATATAATTGGTATTTTTCTTTATTTGCCTAATATTTATCTTTTAATAGTCTTTTATATTAATGAAATAATCTTTGGACTTACAATAATAAAACTTTTGAATCATTTCATAAAAAACTTATTAATGTGTTTCAAAATGAGCATGACAAATTTTAATTTTAAGGTCGGCAGGGCAGTTAAACATTTAGACCCATACAATGATGTTGATGATTTTAGTATTGTACTCAATTTAATGTAGCAATGACCCATTAGGAATATTCTAGAGCAGCGATTCCCAACCTGTGGTACGCGTACCCCTAGGGGTACGCGATAGGTTGTTTAGGGGGTACAGAAAAAAGTTAGTTATTATGGCAGAAAAAATAATATATTATGTATCACAAACTAATAGTATTAAAAAATTATTACATAAAAAATGTTCTTTGCAACAATTACAACTTTATTATACATTTTTTCTTTTAGGTTTTTTTTCTTTAATTTAAAGTTACAATATGTCAAATTAACAATACGGTTACTCACTTAATTTCTTAAATGAGGGGTACAATCTAGAGATATGACATGTCACGGGGTACAATTTAGAGATATGACATGTCACGGGGTACAATCTAGAGATATGACATGTCACGGGGTACAATCTAGAGATATGACATGTCACGGGGTACAATCTAGAGATATGACATGTCACGGGGTACGCAAATGAAAAAAGGTTGGGAACCACTGTTCTAGAGGATCGATAGTCTTAGAATATTTCTATTCCTATGATGACTGATCCTATGATGGTTTAGTATTTTTAGAACATTCTAAAATATTGACTCTCTCATTAGCTGTCAAAAAAATATTTATTAACTCAGTAATCTAGGAAGAGAGAGAGCAGTTTCTATATTTTTATATTTCAGTAAGTGTTAATTTTGGAAAATAGATATTGTAGTTTGGAGATCAATTTAAAATTTAAATAAGCTAGAAAAATTTTTCTGAAAACTTTTGTTGTTTAGTAACTGGAAAAACAGATAAAATTTTATTTTGTTTATTAAGATGAAACCATGCATTATATCTAATATATACTGCAATTTTTGGTTTTATATGCTTTATCATGCATGGCAATACTACAACTAAATTACAATTTGGCAGCTGACAGATTTGTCAATGTCCTAGAAATTATAAATATGGATATAAATGTCATAAGTTGAAATGATGTTTTATAACTAATGTAAGCATAGCATATATCATAGCATATTTCAGCAAATATTTTCATTTGACATTTTTATTTTGTTTCAGATTTTATTATATAACTTTTAGATTTCATCCATTTATTTAATATTTTGTTTAAAGTAATTTATAATGAATTAAAATTTCTAAATCAAAATCTAAAAACTATAAATAGAATGTTGAATGATTTTTTTAAAATTAACTAAATTTTACTTTTTGGAATATGTGGGAGTTGGAAAGTGGTAGCATTAATCATTTTTAAGTGTCCTTTAATCCAGTCGTAAAAATCTAGCAACCCTATAAGTGAAAAATCTTAGTCAATTTTTAAAGTTAAATTGTATATTATCTATAGATACACTCAAAATTCTATTTATTTTATTATTCATTTGAAAATATAAATATGAATAACTAATCAGATTCAGTTTTTGCATTAAAAATTTATCATATTTAAGAATTATTTTTAACTATTCTGCTTCTATTCCTTTTATTATGTTCCTTATTATGGCCCGATGACAGAAATTTATATTCTAGAATATTTTATTCACTAACTATTTGCAACTGAATTTAATCAAATTTAGTGAAGAAGTGAATTTATAACATTAATATACTATAAATGTAGTAAAATGCCTCAAGAAGTGCTTTTAATCATAACACCATTTTAACCCTATATAAAAATAATAATAGTAATAATAATTACAGTATAGTACTTGTATATATAATTCAATATTTACTGTTTGTTTTATGAATCTACAATTAGAATTTTAAATAATTGGTAAATGTGTGTTTTAATATAGAAACATATTCAAGAAAATAATAATAATAATAATAATAGTAGGCAATGCCCCAGTGTATTATAATAATACACTGGGGCATTGTCTATTTCCTATATAACAAGTATTTTATTGTATAAAATCGATTTTCTCGCATTTATTATTTTCTCCACTTTATATATATATAATAATCCATATAAAATATATATAATTAATAAAAAACTCAGTAGAAATAAAATGAATTGAACAGATACAGAAACCAGAGTTTAACGCAAAATGCATATCAACTGACGTAACACTAGTGTTATTGACACCCACGCTTTCCGTCCGCAGCTTACTTACCCGGTTTTAATGTACGTTTCAACTTAAAATACTCCTTTTTCAGATTAGAAACTCTGGTTCTGAGTTCGGAAGGAGTTCTCTCGAATAATTTAAGTTCGTTAGCAATTTCGTTCCATAATATATTATGTTTATAAGCTTCTTGAAATTTCTTTTGCATTTCTTCGCTTCCCCATTTGTAGAGTAGAGCTTCGGTTTCCTTGGCACTAAAATTCTTCTTTTTCTGTCTATTTAAATTGTCGGCCATTTTGGTAGCGTGTAGACTACACTCTCCGTCGGACACGGTAGTTACCCACATCCAGGTTTACGGCTGTAGAACCAGAGTCCAGATAGGAACCGAAATTTTACTCCGTTCTTCGATCTTGTTTTCTGTCCAGCGAAAGGCCATCGTTTTTCTAACATTAGTTATTTTGGAAACTTGCTAACGGTCCTTTCTACAGAAAAAGAAACACTATTAATAAACTTGGACGATCTCGGATCATGTGACCGCACGTCTCTGCCACACCAGTGTCGATTAAACCAGTTTCTAGTGTGGTTAAGCCAGACGTCACGAGTTTCCTGTGCCATGCGATGTATTTGTTCTCGTCAGCCAATGATTTCTAGTTAATTTTTTCCTTTGTTTCCTTTATTCACATTCTCATTTAAATATCATAATAGTTTGATTAATTAAATAAAGATTGTAATTAATATATATTATTATGTTCTAGTTTGATTGAGACCGTCCGGTGTTTCGAAAACAAATATTTTTGCCGATTTATTTTCTCATTTATTCAGATTCAGTGTGTTATTTAATGAGAAAATTTTTAATAACCAATTCGGGCACTTTGTCTGCTCTGCTGTTGAATTATAAGCGTGATTGAGCGGAGTGGACTCGAATTTCTGTGAGAGTTAGGAACCTTCGTGGTGGTCTATCCCGGATATGTCGGACTCGTCCCTCACTATCCGGCCTCTGGAGCTGGTTGAATCTATAATGGGTTTGATTAAAACGACTCTTTCAGTGCCTTTAAGGTGGAAAGAATCAAAACGAAATAATAGCATATTTACTCATGTGCAGATTTACAAGATTACCAAAACGCCCGTTTATGCCAGGCCCGAAGAGAAGCCCTCAAAATTAATTATTTTCTGTAAAAAGAAAGTGATATAAAAAAAAAACTGGCACGACTTTCCGGTCATCCATGATTTACAAAGTTAAGGTTAGCACCAAATGTTAATTTTATTTTAAAATAATTTTTATATTATTTATTATAAAAAAGAAAAAACCTTATTTTGAGGGTAGGGTGAGTTTTTAAAGAAATTATAAATGCTAATACAGTATTTCGAGTTAAAGAAATACCTGTACGAGTTATATTCAGAATTGTTGCTTATGGTAATGATTTAGGCATAAAAACACTTCGAATTATAGGTGGATCGTTCCGACCCCGAACTATTTACTAAGAACACTTCCATCCCATGTCGAAACAGTTCCGGTCGGAATTGCTAATGCGTTCTTCGTTTTGTATTTTCGTGAATAAGGCTTTTCACGGAATAGTGAACTCTGTCGGGATTTGTTCTTGCACTACTGTATATCAAAATGTTCCACGAGTTTTTGGGAATAATAAAATTAGTTTTGAGTATTTTAAATTTATGAGGATATTGTTAAAATTCGTACTTTTATTACAGTCGTAATTATTTGTTTTATTAGTAACTATCAATAGTAAATATGTGCGGCATTGTCCGGTCAAAAAGAAGACTACACTTTAAAATGAAAACCATATTTAAAGTTTGGTCGTTTTAGCCTATCGTTGTATGTTTATCACGAAGTGTCAAGATTAAATCGGGGGAAGAGGGGGTGTCCAGATTTCATAAAAATCTATATTTTCCTCCGAGTCCAAGAGAATAAGTACGAAAATTTTGATGCAGATCGGACAAAGGATTTTAATAAGGGAGAATGAACTCGGGGGAGTGGTAAGGTGTCCAGGTTTTGTGGTAGTCTATTTTCCACAAAGTCCGAATTAAGCAACAATAATTTGGAGCAGATTGACCAAACACTAAGAACAGAGAGGGAAACATTCTATTGATATTATATTGTATATAAAACTGACGAGGGACGGTCTAGTCGAACAAACTAAGCAGTTCTGAGGGAATATAACAGTTTCAACAGTTCCAGAAGCAGAACTGATTTCCTACATCTACAATCTGGTGTGAGGGACGAACAGACCCACAATAAAGTGTTATTTTAAATTTTAATTTGAAAAATATAATCGGTTAAATTCGAACGTTTTATCGAGTTGGGCTAAAAGCCATAAAAATTATTTCCCACGGAGTTTGTTCCTTGTTGAGTCGGATCAAGTTAGTCAGGGATGTGTCACCAGAAACTTTGGAGAGAGAAGACATATTGGACGTGCGACCGTTAAAGGCCATCACCTGACCTCCTGGAAAAAACCCAAGAGGAATGAAGAAGAGAAAAGAAAAAAAGACCCCGAAGTCAGTCGTCATCCAAAGTCCGCCAGACAAAGTCGTCCTCCAGGATTAAAATCGTGACCCCGGATTAAAACCGTAACCCAGGATAAAACCCGTGCACCAAAATCCCGAAGTAACACTGTGACAGAAGTAACACCGTGTCTCTTTAAGAATCTCAATCCCACTTCCGTGCTTCCACGCCTCCGAGTTCCAGTTAACGGACAAGAACTAGTGGAAAGACCATTTCAGAGGAGTCCATAGTGTCCTCATACTACAGATCTGCGACCTAGGAAAAAGAAAGGTATTTATCAACCCGCGACTCGGTTGTAAACGCTCTCTCTCGAACGGAATAGTATAATTAAGTCCGCTAATATGCCCGATATCTCTGTATTTTCTTTGTTTATTATTAAAATTGTTAGTTGTTAGAACATATGGAGTCCGAGTGAGTCACTTCCTCGTCTCTCTCCTCACCTCTACTCCGAATCCAAGCGCTCACACGCTACCGCTCGCGAATCTTTAGACTTAACGTCGCGATTTCCGAGTCCCCTAGAGACTCGGTGGTGTCATCCTGACAGGGCGCCAAAGAGGTGCCGACCCTACGGTCACACTGGCTACAGAATCAACTTGAGTATTAACCAATGAGTATCAGCTATTGATCGCTTAGTTGTGCAAGTTACTTCCGGTTTCTTCCTCATTTGTTAAACATGTCACCGCCATTATAAAGTGTTATGAAAGCATCACGTTCTGGTATTGGAATACGAGGAAGTTTGCTATAATAGTTGTTAATTGCATGATTCCTTACAGTTAATGCATGCTATAAAAATTTAACACAACGGAAAAGTCATTCTACCATTAGAGAGAGAAAATAAAATAAAATTTCACATGTTGCCCGACATATTACGCGAAAAAGTGCTGATTGGTTTAACTGAAGCGACATCACGCTTGACATTGTCTATGGAAAGAATCGGCTCGAGAGCAATTGTAGTAGTCAGTGACCGTGCGTTCTGGGCTACGGCCACTCTAAGAAAACGCATTTGAAATGCCGTTGTAACGAATAGAGAAAACTTTAATATATATTGTAATGCTACCCTACTATAATTTAATAAAGCCACTCGACGCAACTGAAGCATTCGCGAGAAAAACAAGTTTAATCATCGAAATACCAGGGACACAATCTTGGGTCCCTTTGTTAGTTTCTTTAGCATTTAAAAATTTGAACAAATTATATAAATTTGTTAATAAAGGATAATCTTTCTTTTACTAACTACCGAAACAAAACATAATTCATGATATGTCACTGCATTGTTTGAACTGCATTCTGCTTTTTAATTTTCTTGGATTTCTTTTTTTAATTTTTGCATTCTGTGCTCAGCACCGTGGAAGGGGGATTTTCACCCTGGCTCCTAAGCTTTACTGTTATTTTTATTAAAAAAAAGAGTCTTAAATTTATTTTCTATTGTTATTAAAGAAACATTCTACGTATTTCATTTAGTGCAAAAGGAACCCGCGGTACCTCTCGATGACTGTATTCTGGCTCTGTTAAAAACACGAAATATTCAGTATTTCTCTCCTCAGTTATTTGAAAATTTTCGTGTTTTAAAAGTGCATTTATTAGAACTTATATTCACGATAACGAGTAAAATGGTCTTTTAAAGGCTATTTATCTATATTTTTTCCATTCTCTCGTGTTTATCTTGCCTTTAATGAGTATATTCGTTCATTTATATTTTATTAATCAAGTCGATTTAACTGCTAATTGTTACTGCAAGAAATTTATTTTAATAAAATTATTATGAGAATAATNAATTTCGAATTAATTTTTTATTTAGTTGTCACGTCAAGATCCGATACATACGGTCGTCCTGAAAGAATACCTATGTTCTCAAATGTCACAATTGCAGCAGTCTCTGGGACAAACTGCTTTCGAACAATTAATGGCAACTGTAGATGTTGAAACCATGCAGCAGTTGAAAGAATACCTGGAATCTTGAAAATTAAGTTGTAGAATAACTGGACTATAATATTACACAAATTGCTGTCGGATCTTGAAAGTTCCATTCTTCGGCAGATCGAGCAATTAAACATTTGCATTGAACATCAATGTGCTAAACGATTATTAACATCATGGCTTTTTTGCTTAAAAAAATATTATATTTATGTCTAAAAACTGTTGCCAATTGTATTTTGTACAGCAAAAAGAATAATTTAAAAGGCAACTACATATTTTCAGTAAATATTTTTATTTTCAACATTTTCTCAGATTATAGATACAGTATAACTACTATCCATCTTATTATCTCACAATAATATAATCTATAATAAACCCACTGTTAAGCTGTTGATTATTATAAATTCAAGTATGAAAACATTTTTTTTAATCTTGGCAGGAGTAGAATAAAATTGTCTTTTCAAGATTATGTAAGAAATTCATTGAGAGATTTATAATAAGCCCTACAGTTTTCATTTAAGAGAAAACTACAGGTAATATAAAATTATAAATACTAGGCTATATGTCTAATGAGATGGCACAAATTGACTACATTTAAAAAATTTTATGGTAAAACATTGGTATGGGAGTAAAATGAAAACTTTTAATTCTCTTATTCTAGTTTTCATAAAAATAATAACATGTACATCTAACCTATTTTTAATATTTCAAATTCCTTTTGATGAATTCTCATATTTATGTATGGTTCATATTTTTCAGATTCAGTTAAGCATAAGCATATTGAATTCCATTAGAAGGGCAGGTATTTGATGAAGAGACCACAGAATGAGACCAAGAATGACGATAGAGTTCTTGGGCTGCAGCATGCAGTTTTTCAACGAAGTCAGGAACCCCTAAATAAATTTTAAAGAAAAATATATGAAAAATTATTACATCTATTTCAATGTCCTGAAAAAAGTATAGTAAAGACAGAAATACTCTTGTTGACAGAAACCTTAGGAGGCATTGGAATCCGGTCAGTGTTTATGTTCATACTAATACATGATTTCAATATAGTAGCAACAATGTAAATCTTTAGTATCTTGTATGACCTACTCATGCATGGACACATATAGGCACCATACTATCTTAAAGTTTGGCAAATTTGTTGGCCATCTACATGTGCAAGGGAGTTGAAACATTTTTAGACAAATCCATTCCTGGGAAAAACTAGCTGTGTGTAGTTGAGCATTATTTCACTGGGCTCCTCTCATCAATAGTTCTCTTTTACAGAATTGAAATTACTAAAAATTATGCACAAACAAGTAGATTTTCAGTTAAATTATATAATTGTTCTAAACCAGTGGTCCCCAACCCCCGGGCCGCGGACCGGTACCAGTCCGTGGATCAAATGGTACCGGGCCACTCAAGAAACATTAAATTATTTCCATTTTATTTACTGTGGTATTTCCTCGGATTTGTGCGACTTTTAATGGACGACGGAACAACGGAATAAACTGGACATAAGAAACACACTTCAGGTGTCATTGTCTCCTATTACCCCCAGATGGAACCGTCTCGTTGCAAAGGGGATTGTTAGTTCTCGTGGGTTTTCTGGGGCTAGTTTTATACCTTCTTTTTCTGAGTGGTCTCATGGGTTTCCTCCTCAAGATCATACTTATAATCAAGCTCAGGGTTCTCATTGATTTAGCGTTCTAGTGAGTTAAAATTTTAAATCGCATTATATTCATTTTTTGGTGTAACTGTATATTACTTTGAAGGCATTTTTAAATACAATTAAATTAAAATTATTAAATTAAATTAATCTAAAATATAAACAATCAACGTTCCCCCCTCAGTGGGCCGCGGTAAAATTATCAAATGTTGGCCGGTCCGCAGCGATCAAAAGGTTGGGGACCGCTGTTCTAAACTAAAAAAAACAACACAAGTAAAATGATATTTGTTTATACAATATGACATTTTGTGCCTCATAACTGCAGTTGTACTATACAAGAAATTAAGCTCTATGTGGCACTGGAAATGTACTGTACTTACTGTTGTTGTGTCTTACTAAACAAAATTCTCTCTGGTGGTAGACAAAGACAGAATTGTAGTTGTTCATAATCAGACATCCCCAAACCTTTTGACTGTTGGCCCCCTCTTTATTAGCAGTATTAGTAAAAAAATAAATAAATCTAGTTTATTCCACAATTGTTTTCAAACATAAATATGCACACTGTAAGATCTTTTAACATCCTGAACATTAAAAATAATTAAAGCATTTTCAGGGATTTATATCAACTACTTTGGGAGCCTGTTGTCCCCTTTATCCATTGGCTCCAACACTAACTCAGTCATCTCACAAGAGGATGGTTGAGGTCACCAATTTTGATCAAACTTGCCGAGGTTATAGTGCACTCCATGACTGATATAAGCCAAACAGTAGGTGCAATACTCAAAATGAAGGAGAAAATTGAGGTTGAAAATTGCACAATCACTTAAAACCTGTAGAGTGGCCAATAGCTTGGAGGGGCACACTGGTTTCATAATTGTAAGGTTGGTGTTTTGAATCTGTGGTATCAATGTGATTTTTTTCCATAAAACTATAAAAAATGCACAATAAACAGATTAATAAAACAATAAAATCCATTTATTTCAAGTAACAAAAGCAATTAAGAAATACTAACTAACAATATTTACTTAGAAAATTGAAATTTTCAAAACACTTAAAACCTTTAGAACAGTGTTTCTCAACCTCTAACGAATCGTTGCCCCCTTCAATAAAACTATTACGTAGTATTGCCCCCTTCACTACAAAATTCCGATGCCGAGGGACAAGGCTAATGCTAAATTTGTACTGCATTGAATAGACTAGTGACTAGTATAAGTGTTATTTGTTTAATTATTGTACAATATAACAAATAAAACATCTAATTATTCTTAATATAATGTTTTACTATATCGCCCAGAAAATTGTTTTTCGCCCCCAAAAATATAAATTGTTACTAATTGCCCCTCAACATGGAAAAACGCCCACAGGGGGCGATATTGCCCCCGTTGAGAAACACTGCTTTAGAATTTCCATTATTTGTAGTGTGGCTGGTAGCTCAATGGGGTCTTGTCAGTTTCATGAAGTTGTTTCAAATCTTGTTGATTTTAATTAATTTTTACTTTATTATATTTATTTAAAAATTAGATTTGAATATTCATTTATAGTACAGTTCATCCTTACTCTGGCAACAAAGTCATTGTTTAACCTAAATGCATCTATTTTTATTCTTTAGTGAATGCAATTAGATGACTTCAATATCTCATGCTAACATTAATAGCATAGAAATGTGTTCTGTAGAAGAATCACTAAACGACAATATTACAAAATTTACATATTGTGAAAGCATCCTTCAAAATCTAGACCTAATTGCAGCTTAGGGTGGTTCATCAATTTCAGAAGTTGCAAACGCAGTAGGGGAAAAAAAACATTAAGTGCTCTAATATTTTAAATATTAATCATTTGTTTTTCCAGTGACATGTAAATCATCATCTTATATTGTATGAATTTATTCAATGTGCACACTGAAGAAATGTTAATTGTCTTACAAGCATGTGAAACGATAATCATCCTCCAAAAAATTGTGCTCCTGGAAAGCAAACAGATTGAATAATGATAATAAAAATGTCTTCTTTATTAACAAAATTATCATTATTCAAGGCTAATCCTCTTCCCAAATAAATTATAAATATTTTAGTTTTGAATATTCATTTATAGTACATATGGGATTCATACTAATTTTTAAATAAATATAATAAATTTAATTTTTACTTCATTATTGGTATTTTTAGTTTTGTATTAAAAAATTAATTAAAATCAACAACCTCATGAAACTGACAAGACCCCATCAAGCCACCAGCCACTCTACAAATAATGAAAATTCTAAAAGTTTTAAATATTTTGAAATTTTCAATTTCAATTTTTTCCTTTATTTTTGAGTATTGTGTCTCAACTGCTTGCACATGTCAATTGTTGGGGATGCATTATAACCTCACCTAGTTTGATCAAAATTGATGGCTCAATATTAGGCCATCCCCGTCAGTATGGCCACACTGCAGCTTTTGTCAAATTCCATTGTATAGACATGCCTGGGATTCAAAGACATCCAAACAATGGATACACTGAAAAACACTAAGCCTCTGCAAACTTTTTTTATAGGATACTGGAGTAGACATTTTCTTGCCTACAATCACACTACAACTTTATCATTTGCATGCCTGTCTGAGACAGAATTGTCCAATTACTGCAAAACTCATCATTTAGCTATCTAAGTTTAACTTTTTTGTCAATGAGAATTATTATTCAATGAAATGAATTTACCTGAGGATGCCATCCAGTTGTAAGCAGGAGATGGAAATGCTGCTTGGGGATCATCAAAGTAAGTCAAGATATAATCAAAGCCATTCTGCAAGAAAAATTATTATTATTATTTTACTCATTAATTATAATATATATAAATTAATATTCAGAACATAAATACAGCTAAAAATACACAAGTAAATTACATAGTCTCTTTTTCATTTGGACAACCATGAAATTTTGATTGTTTATTTAAAAAATTAATAATGATTAATTTAATTTAGATCTTTACAGTTTTATTTTTTATTGTTTGATTAATGTCCAACTTTCAAAGTTTATATTATTTTAGGACATATTTATTTCAAGATAATACTTGTCTAATAGCATGGTTTAAAAATTTGTTACATGTTAATGTAAAATTTATGATATTGGTATTTGATTATTAGACAATTGGAAAATTTTGCAGTTATCAAATGTCATCATTTTTGTATTGAATTAGACATTCCATTCAGTATTCACCTCACCTTTTTTTTCAGTTATAGAGAGAGGATTTTGAAAGTTTCTATACATAACTGAATCAAATACAACAGAAAATAAAGTGCAAATGTGAATATTCAGAGGCTGAAAAGCATGTGTTGGAGTGGTTTATACAGTTTAAAGTTCAAAAATATTCCTGCTGATGAAAAAGCTGAACAATTCTGACAACAGAATGAATTCAGTATGTTCCAATTATTAGCTGGATAAATTTGTAGTGAGATTGCATAAAATGGTTAAAAAGCCTGGATGACATTTTCAATGCAAATGAAACAGACTTATTTTTGCTGCTAAACAAAACATGCTGTTCAATGATAATAAATTGTGGAAGTAAAAAAGCAAAATAGATGAAATTCTTTTTTCTGGGAACAAACATGACAGGCAATGGAAAACTGCTATCATTCTAATTGGAAAATCAGTAAAGTCTTGATGTTTCTACATACAATATGCAGCAAATAAGAAAAAAGCTTTGATGTCATCTATGCTTTCTAATTAGTTGAAAAAATTTGACACCTGCATCCTTGCCGAAACAGAATATTAATTTTGTCAACAATTATAGTGCATATTTAATGAAAGATATATTTGGTGATGAAAGTCAAACCATTGTAACTTCTAGATCATGAAATCATTCAAAACTTTAACAAAAAATGAAAATGAAGCATTCAAATTGCATGTAGCAAGTTCACTTTAAATTTATATGATTCATGTTTCATATGATTAAATTGCAATACAGAAAGCAAAGATTAAGTATCATTGCAAATTACTTTACAAAAACAGGTTTTGATCAACAATTTTTTAGTGCTTTGAATAAACTGGAATTTCCTTCAGAGTCCTTCAATTATATCAAAGAATTTACAGCATAATAAATAATTAAAAAGTGTCATTTGAAGATTTTGTCAATGCTAACAGTGACATCACTGAAGATTACTTAAAAACTAATGTTGTGAAAATAAGGAACAGTAAAGGACAAGTATCTTGCTTGCGCTGTTGAGGCACTTTTTAAATGCTACATTAAAATTGTCTTCGGAAATTCATGTAACAGACTTTTTTCATTAATAACATTTTATTTTTATAGATACATACAGTATATTGCAAAATAACTCCATGTGAAAGAACAAGAGCCTACTGTATACAGACTGTTCACTTAACACTTACGCTGGAAAGACTTCTCTTGCATATGGATAAGTACAGTACATTTACATGATGCATTAATTCCATTCCTATGTTTACAGTAAAATTAATTCATTCAAAAAAATAAGCAGATAAATTGGACAGTAGTTCCAAGGTAGTACATAAATTTTCCAAACATATGATTTGTCAAAGTTTTGCTTTTATATGAAACCACATAATTCAGAGGTCCTTACAAAAGAGCTAACATTATGAAGTATGTTACATGCTCTATCAATTAGCAATGCCTTTTACTTTTCTGGGAAAACCATTTTCCACCTGCATAGACACTACCACTTGATACAAACTTGTTTCAAAGTCACAGATGAAGGTCCAAATCCCCTCATCTTCATAATGGTGAAAGTTTTCCACTTTCCTGCTTATTCATACACAAGCATACAGCAAGACAATGGAGACTGAAGCAGTCACAAAAACATTATCATGACATACTTGTGCCAGTTGCAGATAGCAATTGCTATCCATTATTCTCTGCGTGTTACTCAATTTGACTTGTGCAACACGACATTAAACTATAACATGTTTTGTATATATGTTTTACACTAAACATAACTGGTATGGTATATGAAGCAGATTTTAATCCTGTACTTGACACACCTGGACTAGTGACCACTATCTTGATCTATCCACTGTCACGTATAGGATATTATTTACAGATAAGGCATGTAAGTGGCTCAAAGACTAGTTTGACAATCAATAGATAGGACAACACAATCCTGTTCCACAATCACCATATTTCCTGGAATTTACATCCCAGCAAAAAATTCAGTGGAGTCATCTAAATGCATTATTTATAGCACTAATGTGTATGTATTGTAATGTTATTGACAGAAGCATTTCATATTGTATCTGCAGCTTAAGACAGTGACATCAAGTATGTTTTGTGCCATCCATAATATTACTCTCAGCTAACTCTTCCTCTGTACTAATTTATTTTGTTGTGGTACGCATTCAAAAACTGTTTTTGAATTGATTTATACAACATTGCTTTTTATCCTTTACACTTAGACAAGATGATTTAGCAAAACATATAAAGAATCTCTGTTATTCTTTCACTTGGTAGACAGATAATGTGTCTGTGTAAACTGTGCAGAAATTTCTTTTTGAATGAATTTATTTATTTTACTATAAGTGTTGGATTGGATCTAATGCACCATATATATATATATATATATTCATGCAGTGCTGGAAAGATCTCTTTTGTATCTGGTTAAATTTTAAAGTGAATACCCTGTAAATTATCTTAAATCTATTAGCAATATTATTTTTTTGTGCAATTATTTAATTAATTGCACAAAAATTGAAAATATTTATAATTTGTTTTATAGATCAATTGAATACTTAATACAGTATATATACAGTAAATACTTGATTATACAAGGTAATGTGGACTGATGCTATCTCAAAATAGATGGCATTAAGAATTACAGTGTAAATAATAAGAAGAGTAGTGTAGAGATCTGCCTCAGAAAATGCAGAACCTTGGATAATTGGGGGTTCTACTGAAAAATTTTTTAAAAATAACTTACTATTAATTGTATACATCCTAACCATTTTTTGGTAAATTGTGAATACTAGTATAGATTCATTTCTTTTGCAACTGTATTTTGTTTGGTTATTGTATAAGAAGTGCTAAAAAAAAGCTTTTATATGCCTTAATATTTTGTGTAATCGTATGCATGTAAATTGATTAAAAAAATATTTGATCCATTATCAATACCACCTTAATTCTAAATTATTATACAAAGATAACTATTGATTTTCTCATTTTAAATAAATTTTTCTTATCTTTTTATATACTATTTAAATTCATAGAAAATATAATCATTAATATACTGTACCTCATCAAATCCTCTATGAGGTTTTATGACCATTCTAGAACTGTAATTAGTGACTCTAACATATTTATTGTTTGGTGGGCAGGAAGGATGATCGGCAGCTCGAGAAACTAGGACCATTACATTATTAGAGTAATCAATCTGTAAAAATTTCATATTTTTAAATTATTATTTAACATACTACTATGTGAATATACTGTTTCATTTATTAAGAAATTGCTAAATGTTGTCAGGGTATTTTATTACTAACAATAAAATTACAAGTGAAGTCTTCTGAGCATCCACAACCAGAACTTCAAGATTAATAAAATAAAAAATAATATTTGGAGATAAAAATCAGAAACTTATCAAACTAAAAAATTTACTTTTCACTAATCTTGTAATTAAAATAATATTCCACTTAACAAATAAAACAGATATTGGCTAAAAATGCTTCTACAAAACACCAGTAAGATATAGAATAATAAGCTACAAGAAATTCTTATGCTTGGAGTTTAATGGTATTGGTTACAATAGAAAAACTATAAGATTGCAAATAATGAAGACGTCTGTTACAATTATATAAATACTTATTGATATTAATCAATGAATTATAAGCAAATAAATACAGTTAAATTCTCCAGTTACACTGGACAATATGATTGATGCAGTTACAGCATCTGCACTCGTGCTATTCTGAAAATATTTTTTTTATTTCTCTCAGTTTCTCGTCATCATTGTCTAAATAGTTACTATTTTGTCATTTCTTAAATCAAAATACTCAAAGTGAAACTAATTTTAATAGGAATGATTATTTCAAAATTTATATAGCTGAAAACATTTCAATTCAACATGACATATGTTAAAAAGACATTTGCATAAAGTTTGTTTAGGTGTATTGAGTTCACGGGTTGGATGTCACGCCAACTTATGTCAATCAAAACTTCCAAGAACGTCAGTCTATGAGGCGTTAAATATACCTGAAATTATTTTTAATTTACGAGCGCTTTCGACGTAAATAAGCACGTCGTCTTCAGGTAAAATTAAATTCGAATAAAGAATTCGAACCATACATTTAAATTTAAAACATTAACGATACTAGCCGTTTTTGAACATACAAAAAAGAGATTTTAAATTTAAATATTTAGAATTAAACATTTAAAATTGGTGCGCATGCGTTTTAAAAACAAATAAAATATTTTATAATATAACAAATTTTAAATGTATGGTTCGAATTCTTTATTCGAATTTAATTTTACCTGAAGACGACGTGCTTATTTACGTCGAAAGCGCTCGTAAATTAAAAATAATTTCAAGTATATTTAACGCCTCATAGACTGACGTTCTTGGAAGTTTTGAAAGTTTGTTTAGTTTTCAACATAGTAAATTGTCATTTTTAAATTTATTAACTATTAGATAATTATTAACAATAATTAATAATAATGTATTCACAATACAAAATTTAAACAAGTTATAAGCTATTTTCAATTGATTGATTTAGCTAACAACGTATGTAGTGCATACCAGAACTATGTACCATTTCTAACAGGCACACAATAAACTATGTAAGCATTCCCTCTCAGGACAAATTTGAACAAGCCTTCACCAGTCAACTTGTAAGGTTCCATTAGTGTGCCAGAAGCAGGACACACTAATGGATGTTCATCCCTATATAAATAAATATAAAGATTGAAAAATGTGACATTGGGTTGCAAAACATTATATCATATTATAATTATTTTAATTGGTGATATCTTCATTAAACAGTATGTTGTTTTGAAAATAGTTTTATGTAAAATTTCTGTATAATTTGTTTCATTTCATTTATTGTAGTTTGAAGAGGATCAATACTGGTGACTTGTATAGTGAATAAACTTTTTTAGTTTCAAGTATCTTTGACGTTTTTTCATATTCCATAATTCAATCGGTTTTTCTTCCTTTTGAGTATTTAAATACCATTAATTTGTCATCCACATCATGCGTCAACAAATGGATTTCTAAAAAACAAATTTTTCAAAACAAATTGTATGAAAAGAGCATTGAATTTTTCCAGATTAAATCAGATATCATGTAAAAAAAAAAACAGAACTGTTTTTTTTTTTTGCAAAATTAATATTATATGTATACAAAATTAATTCTTTTTAAAAGTAACAAGTAAAACGGCAAAACTGTATTTGGGACAAGACTATGTCTCGGAGATGAAATCACTTTGATGCTCAAGGCAGGTCTCATTCTCCTATCTTCTTTGATATTGCTGCTTTTGGGTGCAATCGTTCAAACTTTGCCAGCCATGACCACAAGATCGTCCACGATGCATCTTCAATGAAATTAATCTATCTAATTTCAAAATTTCTTTCTGTTGCATGCTGGCCCGGGATGAATTTTTGTTGATGCATAACGAAAAGTTCCCGTTTTTGAAAAAAATAATCGTGGCTATTGTATCATCTGAAATTATTTTTTTTATTTTGCACAAACAATATACAGTTTAACCTGATTATAATGTCATCGAATGTAACGACAGCCCTAATATAACATCAAATTTTTATCGGTCTTACGATTTTACTATACTAGATAACGTTAAAAAAACCACTTGTAACGACATAAAACCGTTTTAATGTCATATTTGAAGCACTCCCAAATTTACAAAATTAGATTACAAATTTCATTTAACCTAGAAGAAACTACATGTTCGGTCCTAAGGTCAGAGTTCACTTCTTAAAACGATTGCGTATGGTACTCTCCCCTACCTGACTTCAGTGGGGTGAGGTGGCTGTTTCACCTGTTTGTAGAAAAGGGTCGCCATTTTGTATTTTATTTTGACTCAATTCTCGGTCCCCCGACTAGCTATGAGTCTGGATTTTTTTATGCGCAAATGATTTGGGCACCTAATACTCTGTGCCAAATATCAACTCTCGACATGTACTCCTTCATACCTCTATGCTGGTAAGAACGGGTGGCAGTACGATTTTATAAACAAGACATAGTCTTGTCAATAAA